TCACCTATTTAATCAAAATTGTATTTCTTTTTAATTTGCATTTCATACCTATATAGGTTAAAATTTTTTTGTCGTTTCACATTTGTTTACATTCTGTGTCACTTTTAAAAACTGTGACTATTCCTTTTTTATTGATTTGTAAGTATTCTTTATATATTGAGATTATTAATGTTTTTCTGTCCATAAATGTCAAACGAAGCCTGAGCCCTAATCGTGCCTCTGCCCCAGACTGGTGTGATGCCGCTCCACGCTCCAGCCTTCAGTGTCCCTGGCTGTGAGTTATGTGCTCTCTGAGGCCACTTTCTGAATGAAATGTCCACATTTTTTAACCATTCAGGCGCCAGGAACTCCGAGAGCTTCGGCTGCTCCAGAAGGAAGAGCATCGGAACCAGACCCAGCTGAGCAGCAAGCATGAGCTGCAGCTGGAGCAGATGCATAAACGTTTTGAACAAGAAATCAATGTGAGTGTCAGAAAAGACAGGTCCCTCGAGAGCTTCCACGTTTTCTTTAAACAGAAGCTGCAGAGTGGGGACAACGGGCAGGGGAGGGTGATTCACAACTGCCCGAGTCCCTGGGTTTCCCCATGTCGTTAGACATGGACCTGTAAACAGAATCATGTGATGGTCACAGTGCTATGAGTCACACAGGAGCATCTCTAGAGGGAGATGAACCAGTGTCGAGCACCCTGCAAGAACCCTGCCAGGGAGCTGGTCTGGGCTCCTACACATGAGAAAAGGGACTGAGAGGTTAAGTGACTTGTTCCAGGTCACACAGCAAAGGGGTGACAGAGCTGGGATTAAAGCCCAGGTTTGAGGACCAGCCCTGTTCTCTCATCCTGCTCCCCATCCCCCTCTCAGGTAAAAAGCGACTGCTGAGTTTCTCTCTCTGTGCCTTGCAGACCAAGAAGAAGTTCTTTGACACAGAGCTGGAGAACCTGGAGCGGCAGCAGAAGCAGCAGGTGGAGAAGATGGAGCAGGACCACGCTGTGCGCCGGCGGGAGGAGGCCAAGCGCATCCGCCTGGAGCAGGAGCGGGACTACGCCAGGTTCCAGGAGCAGCTCCGACTCATGAAGAAGGAGGTGCGTGCTGGGTGGGGCAGGGGGTCTGGGAGGACTGGGACCCTCTCGGTTGCAAGTGATTGAGACTCCAGCTGAGCCTCGCCTTGGCAACAAAATCTGGGGATCCCGCTGACCTGGGCAGCTCACGTCCAGGAGTGGCTCCCCTGCACATGAGGAGCCACTCCTCTGGGCTCTGCTCTCCTGTGCCGGCTCCCAGGCAGGCCCTCCCCTGTGGTCTGGGCAGCTTCCGGCACTTTCTCCAGTTGAGCAGCGCCAGCTGAAAGGCAGTGGGGGAACAGGGTGGTAGTCCAGGGGATTTGAGATGCTGTCACCAGCAGGGGGCGTGGGCGCTAGGTGGGCAGACACACATCCTCTGTGCCCTACCTCCTCTCCCAGAACAGTAGTCCGGAGTTTGGACCCCTGCATTCATCTCCCTCTTTTCCTACCCAGCTGGAAGGGGGAGGGGGAGGTGGCAAAGAGGGGGATGGTCTTGAGATGAGCAGGATGGGGAGGTACATCTGGGTCCCAGAGAACAACCCACACCTCCCTCAGTGGAGCTGGGTACCAGGAGGCTGGGACAGGCTTGTGCTCTGAGACTCTCAGGAGGAAGGAGGGGGACAGGAAGGTGGATGCAAACGCCCGCCCAGGGCGTACCACTCGTACCACTCCTACCACTCGGGGCCATTCCCAGTCTCCTGATGGGTGGTCCGCAGTGGGCGGGGCTCAGAGCCCACCCCGACTTTACCGTGACAGGGTGACATTTGGTGTGTCCAAGGGGCCTCAGGCAGAGCTGCTTGTGGGAGCAGGGTCGGGGCTGGGGTGAGACAAGCAAGGCTCTCCCTCGGGCACAGGATTTAACGGGCTCCGTAATCAAGATAAGTAATATTCTAATGCAGTCTTTTAAAATAAAAACTAGCGAAAAGTATTCATGATGAACAGAATGTCAGCTATGGGTTAGGGTGGGGTGATGAGGCTGTGAGCCAAGTGGAGGGCTGGATCCTGTCTGCATTTAAAATTTGGTTATTTTGTTCATGTTTTTTTTGAATGAATTAAGTTTTGAAAATGTTTTATCTCCGTTTTTTCTTGGTGCCTGAGGTGAGCGTGTCACTGGCCTGCCCCTCTCCTGGCCCTCCTGCTGAGGTTCGGGCCTGGGCTGGGGTTCCTGGAGGGCGGAGGGAGAAGCTGCTGAGCTCATTCCCCCCACTGCTGGGAGCACAGGTCTGGTCTTCCTAAAAGCTTTCGTAGCCTCTTTCAAGGAGCCTGGCTATCTAAGTGGTTAGATTTATTGGCATCAAGCTATTCCTAGGATTCCCTTAGCAACTGCAGGATCTGTAGTGATGTCTCCTCTGATCCCTCGTACTGATGATGTGTGTCCTAGTCTCCTCTCCGTCCTCCCTCTTCTCTTTGTCATCTGGCTAAAGGTTTATTCATCTATTGACCTTTTCAAAGAATCGGCTTTTGGTTTCATTGATTTTTCTGTTTTCCGTGTTATAGATTTCTGCTTTTATATTTGGTTTGGATTTAAATTGCTTTTCTTTTTATAGTTTAACATTGAAGCTTAGGTCACTGATTTGAGACAGCTGTTCTTTTGTAATATAAGCATTTAATACTCTAAGCATCACCTTAGATTTGTCCCACAAATTTTGATTTGTATTTTCATTTTTATTCAATTAGATTTATTATCTAATTCCTTTGCAACTTCCTCTTTGATGTGGGTTTTTTCGAAGTTTGAAGTTTAATTTTGAAATTTTTTTGGATTTTCATATCTTCTGCTATTTATTGATTTCTAGTTTAATTTCATTATGGTTGAATAACACATTTAAGATCTCGACTTTTAAACATTTATTTAGGTTTGTTCTGTGGCCCGGCGGTGGTCTGTTAGTGACTAGGCCGTGTGCACTGGGACGTCGATGGTTGCTGGGTGGAGTTCCGTGCACGTCCACAGGCGGCCAGGTGGCTGACTCTGGTCTGCAGCCTTCCCGCCTTCCATGCATCGTTCCACTGGCTTTTGAGAGGGGGGTGATGAGGTCTCCAGCTGTAACTGGGGATTTATCTACTTCTCTGTGTCCTGTTTTTAAAGTCCTTTTGTTATGTAAAATTGTCACATCTTCTTAGTGAACTGACCCTTTTATGGTATGTAATGTCCCTCTTTATTGCTGCTAATACTCCACGTTCTGAAGTCCGCTTTGTCTGATGGCCAGTCCTGCTCTCTGACTAGTATTTCAGCGGACTCTCCCCACCCTTACTTTACTCCGCCTGCACACTCACTGCTGCTTTCTTGACAGCATGCAGTTGGCGCTGCTGCCCCGGCTGATGCTGTCCCAGGCAGCTCCCTCCTGGGTGGCCCACTTGGGCTACATCTTCAGTTTAGCGATCCCAGAGGACAGAGAGCAGCTCTTCCACAATAGTTCCAGCAAATGTCTTGAAGCCCTCACTGGCCCAGCGAGGGTCACATGTCCACTCAGAACCAGTACCGGAGGCCAGGGCGTGGACTGTGCTCACCGACAACCTGGCTCACATAACCAGCCTAGAGCCAGATGGGGTGAGGGTGTTAGCCCCGCTGGACCTCAGGAGCTGAGGGGTGCGCCTAAAGCATGCACTCTTGATGGAGTGACGTCACCGCCAAGGGGTTAAAGCTTAGATGTTATGAGGGTTTCACATAACGATAGTATTTTTGCAGGATTACTATTTCGTGGGGGCGGGTGACTAGGAAAAAGGTGTCTAAAAGGGCTTCTGAGGGGGCAGTAACAAAATGAAAGGGTTGAGAAATGCCGCCCTAAGGGAGACTGAGGTGCTGTCAGCAGGAGCGGGTGGCACCGTCTGCCCTGGGGGGCTGGGAACCGAGTCTGGAGTGGGCCAGAAGGTGCCACCTGTCAAAGGGGCCTGATGGAGAACGGGGTGTGGGCTGGGTCTGGAAGGCTGAGGCTGTCTTCGATCTCCCCGGTCCAGGGGTTCTGGGGTGAAGGCTGCTTTTAGGACGTGTGAGTAGGTACTTGACGTGGCCACCCTGCTGTCTCTGGGGCAGGTCAAGAACGAGGTGGAAAAGCTGCCCCGGCAGCAGCGGAAGGAGAGCATGAAGCAGAAGATGGAGGAGCACACTCAGAAAAAGCAGCTTCTGGTGAGTCCTTGCCTCTTATCGCCTCTCCCATGCAGGCTTCCTTGATTGCTCTCACAGTCACCTCTCCCACAGCCTCAGCGCCTCTGTTTCAGGGCTAGTCGTTTGTACGCCACGTGTCCCTGACTGACCAGCACGTCCATCTGCCCACTCTGCATCTGTGGGAGACTCAAAGACCAACCCATGATTTCCCAGACCTGGTCTCACTCTTGGGGACCCACCCTCCATCCTGTCATTAGGCCAGAACCCTGGTCGTGACTGA